AAGTGCTCTTGTATTACCATCTGAAACTATCACTGGTACCACAGCAATACTTTCATAGGGCATAGTGCTTTAAAGAGAGACGCCTGACACAGGGTGGTCTTTGGCCAAAGGGAGGCGTTGTACCTTTAAGAGGCTAACGGAAAGAACCAGAGGGTAGGACAGAGTCCTTGCACCACAGCCTGCGCTCCGTGTGTGTCACCAAACCCTCTGCCTGCTCATCCCCCTCACGCACCCCATGCAGCTGTGACCTTACATGTGTATCCTCCCCTTCTGCCTCTTTTCTCTTTTCCTTTCTCTCTCTCTCACACTCTTTTTCATTCTCTTCTTTTGCTTTTGGACCGATGAGTTGATTACATGAAGGGGGCGCAGTGACAGCACTGGCTGGTACACAGAACAAGATGTGCCCCAGGCCCCAACAGACTGCATTAAAATTACGTTGTTCTGACATATTTAAACAGCAGCGGCAAACATGTACACGTACATACAGATCTGCACATGCATACACATTACACAACCAGAGACCTTATTTTCTTGACAAAAATGTAGTACCCCCCCCCAAGTGTTGTAGAGGCTGTCTTCTTCCATGAAAACTAAAGGAACATCTCATTTGTTTTCGTAGTTGGTCCTCGAACACCTTATTTGGCAGTGCATGGAGTTAGTGGAGCGGCTCTGAGAAAAGCAAAGACAAAGTAAGTTTACTCGTCAGTCAGTTATTCCCTTAGAGGTTGGTTCACTTCACCCTCATACCACAACTTATTTTACAGCTTACAAGAATCAAATAAACTTGTCAAAATGGCAACTGCTCACAGTGCTCAGTGTTTTTACATGCAAGAAGAGCTTGCATCCTATAAACCTAAGATGGATGCTTAGATACTTTACGCAAAGATGACAGTGGAGAACGGTCTAAAGCTACAAGACCGAAAGTGAGCACAGAAAACTATTCACAGAAACATTGTACAGAAATGAGAGAGGAATTTAGATGGTTGACATTTAAAGACCTGATGAAACTGCTTCAAAAGCACAGTTTACCTTCCTATGCTAACAAATTTCCTATTGAAACAGGAAGTCAGGATGGAACATAATGCTTTGTATTTTATATATAAAAATAGCTTTTAGCTTATGTAACAGCTGTGAACCATTATTTGCTACTAGCTATTGCTAATTTCATTGGACAGAAATTTGTATACTCCTCTGAGTGCTAGATGAGTCATCATTATTTTGATGCATTTAACTGATAAAAGTTCGAAATGTATCTAAAGATATATATCTGCAAAATGTTAATTTACATGAGAACATAGATGTCTTCACTCCTCAAAGCTGCATTCTGCAGAATAGATTTAACATCAATAGTTGATCACTTATCAGTCAAACAGTATCGTCCTGTCTTAAGGTATGGTCACATTCTCTGGTTCGTTGAATTTTCTCAGGGGAAATACAGTCATTTCAATTAGGGCTGCAACAACTAATCGATAAAATCGATTATTATCGATAATGAAAATAATCGACAACGATTCTCATTATCGATTAGTCGGGTCTGCCCAAGGTGCACGTCCAACTTCAGCCAGTCGCGTCAAATTACAGCACTGAATAGCGCATTATGGACAAAATGCATCTAAAAATAGTGGAGGAAACAGAATGAGATGCTGCAGGAGAAGTACGTGATCCAAGCTGCCCAAAACTTAAGAATTCTTTATTTTAAGCTTTAACCTAACGCATTAGCGTATGGCGTAGGCTATAGGCTTGCCCTGTCCTGCGCTTTGACAGATGCATGTTCGTCCTCAGCGCAAAAACTTTCAGTTCACGGTCATATCCTTATCTGTAAATGTAACAAATTCACGCGAACACTTCCACTTTTGCAAAAAAGTCCGTTCTGATAGTAAATCTTTACTGAATGAGCGCCGGCGCGGCGGGCGCGTGGACGCGCGTCAGACAGACGGCAACTAATCGATTATCAAAATAATCGTTAGTTGCAGCCCTAATTTCAATAGGAATCCACTCGATAGGGAATTTTAATTTTAATTATATTTAGAATTTATCTTTTTTTTTTTTTTTTTCCAAATATGAATCGATGAGATATATGAAATATGAAAGTCATACACCACTAGCTTGCTCGCTGAATGTGAAAGTGTGTCACATTAATTAACCAAGCAGCTTACCTGACATCCTTTAGAAAAGTGAAGTGCAAAAACAGCGCTGTCTGTAGAAGTGTGCAAACTAATGATTGGAAAGAAACCTGCAAACTAGTGCAAATGTACACCAAAATGTAAATTATGCAAAAAGAGAAAAGGTTGAACAAGCAAACAAGAGATGTTTGCCTACTAATTCAGATTAGGTGAAATGTTAGCCAGGCTTCTTCACACTGAGGTAAGCAATGATATTCCATGAGTAGGATCCTTGGAGACAAGATCTCACATCACTACAGTACCTTTATATTCTCAAGCTTTGCTATAAACCATGTCACAAAATCTGATCTCATATATGTTTCCGCTGTCAAGTTTTTTGTGTTTACTCTGTATGCGATGAGAAGAAAGCTGAGCTATTGTTTTTTTTCCACCTTAGGGCTTATGGGCCATTGTGTTAGACTGTAGATCAATGTGTGTGAATGTTTATGTGCAGAATGCTTTCTTGACTAATGGCGCTTTTCCACTGCGTGGTACGACTCGGCTCGGTATGGCTCAGTACGGCTCGCCTCGGCACGGGTTGCGTTTCCACTGCAGTTCAGTACCGCTTTAGAGTGGGCGGCATTATTCACATGTCGTTATAGTTGCGCCGCCTCTACTGCCACGACTCCTAAAAAAACCTTTTTCATTCCGCGTCGCCCCATCAAGCTCTCGCTGGATCCGCTCCTCTGCTGTCAACGAGAGGAACGTCTGTACTTCCTCAACAGACAACGAAACAGCCACTTTTTGGTTGTTAAAAAAGGTGCGCTTGTTCAAAACAGTTGCGTTCGATCCTTCGCTGGCTGTGCTGATTTAAATCTAGCGGTTCTTTTGTGTTTGTGTCGCAAGTTCAGTGACGCAGGTAGTGACGATTCT